AAATTATATCTACTTAAAAACAATTGAATCAAACAATGGACACTTCTAATTTAGAGAGATTCACCTGAAGCAAGTACAAAAAATTTCTGAAAATATTAGTTAAGTGCAATGAATCTGATTCTGACTTTTCAGAGTAATCAATGTATAGAATAGCCATGAAAAACATCAGAAAATTCAATTCTCACAATAATATGTCTGAATTCATTGAAAAATAGCATCATATATGGTAAATGAAGAAAAATGTCATTCTCTTTAATAATGATTTAAGAGATAACAGATAATAAATTTTAAATTATGTGTAAATTTCTTCAAAATAACAATTGTTCTTGGATCAAAAATTTCACAAAAAAATCACAATTAGATGAACTTTTATCTTTTTTCTTTTGTATGTTGTAATTGTAAAAATAGATTTTGAATTACATAGTAAATTTAGTAAACTTACCAACTATTTAATTACTGTAAGCTGTTTTAGATGAAATCAATCCTGTCATTATAGAAAAACATTATCACTATTTTATAAGAACAGACTAAAGATATTATATAATAAGCATATTTAATGAATCTCAGCAGACAGTGAAAACAAAATTTGCCAACAGATATTGAATAATAAAAAGAGAAAAGTATAATCAATTAAAATGTTCATTCATTTAACATACTGAAATGGTCTTGATGAACATATTGCCTGACATAAACTACATAGACTTTGGAATCTGTATGTCATCTAGATGTATAATAGTTTAGATACAGCATACTTCTGTTCAGTTACTTTTTAGCCATGAAGATTTAGGGCTGAACATAACAACTAACTATATTGTTAAATAATTATCACATCTAAATATTTAAGAATTTAGATATAAGTTTCTAGAATCTAAATGGCATGATTGGTTTGCATCAGATTCAAGTTTAAGTGTTATTCTAGAAAGTTATAGCAAAGAATCAATTAAAATTATTTAATTATTAAAATTCTCAACAGATTGTGGTAAATATATCTCTATTACCAAATTTATAAAAATTATTAATTTAATAGTTTAATTTCTTTCAAAGTATGGGATTCTGTAACTTGATTAATTCAGTGTTTGATTTGAAAATTGAGATATATAGTTTTATCAGTACTAAAAAAATTAGTATTGTATGATATCTTCTGATGACTAACTAGATCTAAGAACAATGAACTATTATATATCTGTTTAATACTAGAGCTTGAAATTTTATACAAATGCATATTTGAATTTCGGTTGATATTCCTTAAAATAAGTATTAAAACGGAAGTCCAAATGATTCAAGAGTTATAAATGCATTTATGTGCATATTTCAAATGTAAAAGCATATTTTCAATATTCTGCCTATTAAAGCATATTTTCTTGCTTTTGAGAATTTTCAAAACCAACTACTACATCACTTCATTCCTCAGTGCATGCTCTCTATCTTTCTTGGGATTTGTTTAGAAGTTACTTCCTTCAAACCTGAATTGACTTCATACATTCTAATTGAATTGATTTTATAAAGAATCTTTGATTTAATTGGCTACAATTTTCAGAAGTCCAATCATGTCTAGAGGAAATTTATCTTATGGTTCTAAATGTAGACTGTATGTTGAAGAGTTCAGAGGAGCCTTTTTTCAACTGATAGTACTTGTTCTTCTTTACTGGTCATGCAACAAAGCATTGCATGTGAAAGAATGATGCTTCAAGGCTTTGAAATGTTAAAAAATGCAAAAAATTTGGCATTTTTTTCTGTATATGTAAATACTATAATGTGGGGATACTTTGCACGACTTTAAAAATCACATTTACTTGCAAATGGAAGACAAAAACAGTGTCTGCTTAAGCAATTCACATCATCAGGATAAGTAGCAGTTTTGTTACAATTTACATAAAGCATTGATTACCAGCAACAATCCATTTCACAAGCTCATCAATGTGTTTAAAAATTTCCTTGAGAAATATACAAATGAAAAAGTACCAGATGAATCAACTCTTCAAAAGAATTATGCCTGTGAATTGTACAACAAAATCATCAATATAATCAGAACAAATAGTGAAGGAAAAAATTTCTGATAATTTGTTGATGAAATGATGAAAGCACAGATCTTAATGAAACCACTTGGTAGGAATGTTGTTAATGTAATAGTTGACATGCTTGATAATTAATGCCTTTGAAAGCAGAAACTAAAAATATATATTTATTCCAAACTACATTCACAGAAACAATCATTCAACCATCATGAAATACATAAATGATGCACTACAAATTTTGTGGCCAAATAGAATATATAACAAAGTGTATATTTTTGTGTCTGATGCCATTAATTACATCTCAAAGCAGCCAATGTGCTGAAAGTGTTTTATACCAATATGATTCATTTTACATGATTAGTGCATTTAGCAGAATTTTTGAAAATGTTTGTGTGACATTTCCTGGTGCCAATAAATTGATTGCCAAATACAAAAAGTCATCATGAAGGCTCCAAAAGAATGACAGGAATTTTTAAGGATGCTTCCAAATATGTGTATTTCACCAGAGCCTGTACCAAGATGTTCAGGTGCATGGCTATCATTTGCTGTCATCTATTATGCTGACAATATTTATAATGCACAGTACAGTACATCAAGTTGTCAAAGCTTTCAATCCTAAAGATGCCATCTGCAGTTCTGGAGTGTCTTGAAGTAACAGCATCAAAGCAAGGTGTCAAGTTGGAAGGGAGGCTTCATCTCAACAAATCAGGGCTGGCTGGAGGTTTTGTGTGCCTCAGGAATAAGTTATTAGTGGGGACCCCAAATATTTGAAAAAAAATAATTTTTTTATCAAAAAAGTCATATAATTTTATTAAATATAATTTGCAATGATAAAAGGACAAAGAATCAATATAAATTTAATTAAAATATTTATTGTATTAATACATCTCTGAAACAACAAATTCTATTATCAAATTTTCAATACAGAGCCTTGGCCTTAGGCTCAAAAAACCAATGCCAAACCAGCCCTGCAATGAATCAATCATTCTAGTCAACTTGGCAATTAATAAAATCAATATGTACTATATGTGAAATAGTACCTACACATCCAGGTGTTCACCTGAATGTGTAAAATCACTTTGAAGGAAAAATTAAAAAACTGTGCTATACAGGAATGGAATGGAAAACAATCTGCAGCATAAATGCTGTGATTCTGGGTAAAGCAATATCCTGTAAAACTTTTGATTTATAGTAAGTTCAAGGAAAATATAATTGGGGCATACATAAGAGATGCTATGTTGTGATGTAGAGAGATTATTATCAAGGTACAAAAGTCTTGTTAGACCAAACTGACTCTCCTTCACTAAAAAAGTTTTTCAAAATATTTCATTGTATATTGTAATGATTAAGTTTTCCTACAATAAATAATGTAAATAACATATCATTTATTAAACATTTATTTATGTAACATATATGTAATTAGTTTTGAGAGAATATTTAAGAGTATATTTTGATTATTTCTTGTGTTATATACTGTATGTGCACATAAAATAGTAAATTTAACCGCATAAAAATCTGGACCTTGTTTATTACAATATGAAATTTTTTATGAATTTAAAATATGAAAATATTTTGTACAATCCAACATCAACTACAGCATGTATTTATTTTTCTAGTTTGACTATTCTTATTGTTTATTTCCTCATAATTTATTACAGTGCATTTAAAAACATTGAAGAAAAATTATACTATATTTTCTTTAAATGACTTTAAATTATTTTGAACAGAACACAAATAATTTAATCAAATATGCATTTGCATTTTGTATTAATTGATTCACTCATGATAGATATAAAAAGATGTATATACTTATTTTTATTAGAACTGAACAATTTTAATTAATATGCATCTATGTCCTTAAGTAAGTGATAAAGAGTAAAGATTAAGTAAGATAAGTGTAAATGTAGAGATTTTATTTATTTATTTATTACCTAAGGCATTATTTATTTATTACCTATTTATATTATACAGTATAAGCATCTTCCTAAAAACATTCATAACCTAATTAGTTGTTAGAAACAGTATTTATTAAATTAAATTCTATAAACACTGTTACATAAATTTATAATATGTTTAAAAATAAGTGTTTTTGAGATGAAATTAGTCTTTGTTTTTTAGTTTTGTTAGAAAACAAATATGCTTTGGTGGTAGTTAGCTAATTACAACATTCAGTATACTACTAATAAATGTTAGATTCTACTTAGTGCCTGCCAAATTTTTTTGTATGAATCATTATTCATTTTTTGCATAGAAATGGAGCTTATACATTAGAGTTCATATTTTAAATGTTTATAAAGAATTTCAATTACCAACTTATAATTTAAATTAAAAATTTACCATTAATGCCAGACAGATTTTTTTAAGACTACTAACCGAACTGAAATGAATTTCCAAAACTCTTTGTTGGTATTTGTTTCTAATAAAAGAAATTCATTAATAATGAACAAAAATTAAATTAATATACTATAATTACTTTTAGTATTTTAAATTACTGTAAATAGCTCTTGTAATTTTTCCAGTCTCTAGAAAAATTACAATAGAGTGATAGGATCTTGCTACAAAATAAAAATTTAAAAAAAGCATCTAACTCCCATCTTAAAAAATTCTATAAAACTCTATTTTCTGTTAGAAATTGCCTATGTTTCACATTTCTTTACATTGGAAAAGTGAATGACCTCTGTGATAAATAGAATATATATATATTTCAGGTAATTGAAAATAAAACAATTTTAATCTGTGTAACTGTGAGTCTGCAATCTTGTACACCAGTATGATAAGTTCTATTAATAGAAATACACTGATATAGTGATTAAAAGAATAATTTTGAACAATTTTAATTTAAAATGAATTAAATACATTATATTTCAAATAAAATTATACATATTTAAATCAAAGTTTTTATTTTATTTTCTATTGAAAACAATAATATTTTTGTTTATGCTATTTAGTCTTAGAAAATTATCAAGTATGTATTGAAACTTATACCTTAAATTTTTCTTCACTTTGTGCATATGTTTTATTTTGTTCAATAAGTTCCTCTTCCAAATGCTTTAATTTCCCTTCTGTTACTTTTTTATCTTCAATTAATTGTTCTAACTCCTTTCTAAGATGAGTTTCTTTAACTTCATTAATAGAGTTAACACTAAATGAATAATTTCTAAAATTATTAATAAAATTTAAATTATTCAATATATTAAAGTCTTTAAGTGATGAAAGAGTTCATAATATTATGAAAGAATAAAAGTTATGGAAAATATTGAAATACTAAGCAATGCATTAAATCTGTCTTATCACTAAATTGTAGTTTTTGATGATAATGCATATACAAATTTATGATACGGAATCATTGACCAAATACATCATGCAACTGTAGTATAAATGATAAAACTTTTGCTGTTTAAAAATGCATAAAAATGTAAGGAAACATTCACAAAAGATGTAGCCCAGTTGAAGAGAGGTAGGAGATAAGGCAATGACTATGGTTATATATCCATCTGAGAGCTCAGAATGAGAATAATACTGGAGAAGTCACTCAGGTGGTGTGTCAAGTAGAGAGTTGTTTCACTATCACTAGTTCTTCAGAATGTGAGATTCCAACACTAACTCTCAAAGTCAGGTCCACATGTTTAGTGAATGTCAGTAGTATAAGTGTGATACACTTGGAGTATATTTTATTTTACCTATAAATTTATTTATTACATTTATATTTCTTCAATAACAATTTCTGATTTAAATTTTAAATATACTCCAAAATGTATCATACCTAAATTTATCAGTAAAAATAAAATATACTTCAAAGTGTATCAGATGTTTACTACTATAGTATAGCAGTATAAGTCATACATTTAAAACTCAGAAAATCATCTGTTTTATTTTCATAAACTGTTCATATTTACATCTTAAAATTTTTTAAAATAATCTAATAATAATACCTTTATTAAGCCCTAAACAGTATTAACTAATGGTATTTTTTATGTCTTCTGGTTGCTGGACTAAAGAGACATTTGGAATATTAGTGTTCAAAATGAATTTATATTATATAATGACTTTATGGTGAAAGCAGATTGTAAATTTCTTGCAGTAGCATAAATGTAAAATACAAATTTTTACTTCGTGTATAAGATAATTCTGTAATCCATAATGGATAAATATCAATTCATAAAACCCCAAATGGGTGAAGCATTCAGAAGAGAAATGAAGTGACAATAAAGATTCCAAAACAATCATTAACTGTATATTTGCCTATATTAACTCTTTAAGCTCTGAAAACTTTTTTTTACTATGTAGCTAGGGACTAAATTGTTTTTATCCCTCAGGCTACATGGAGAACTTGTATAGCAAAACCAGTTACACAACTTTTCCAACATCCGATTTGGTTTTGAATGGATAAGGCCAATTTCATGCTTAAAGAGTTAAATGAAACATTGTATTTTTAATTTAGACTTGGACTAAACTCAAAAAAATAAAATTTTTGTCTCAAACATTTTTTCTGAAAATGTCCATTGACTATAAAATTGAAAGTGTGATACACAAAGAAAAATGATACTATGAAAGTAAGAAAATATCTTATACATTAATAAAAATATTTTGTAATATAATTAAAAAGTTCAATTTCCAAACCAGATAGCCCATTTTTGGCCAGTTCTGGAAGTTGAAAATGTCACCATTTGATAGAGCATACCTGATTTACTTAAAAATTTTTAGATTTTTTGATGAAGCTCACTCACTTCCCTTTACTTTAAAAGGAGTGTACAGGTGGTCTGGGTCAACCCATATAAAGGAATAAGCATTAAGAAATACCAAACACAGCTAATCAAAATCAGTTTCATCTATGACATTTGATCTATATTCTGCTAAATGTGAAAGTCTAACTTCACAATCTGCAAACCAGATGTGCCACCATTATTTGTCTCTAATTTTTAAGGTTTAATTGATAATTTGAAATACTTACAGCACATTTTGATTTAAAAGTGTGTCATAGTTTGCATATATTTTGCTAGAAATTATGTATTTATTTAATACTTTCCAAATTAGTTTTGTGTTTACAGTTGTTTGAGATGCAAATGATTCCTACACCACATAATGATAATAGCCATGCATCTGGTTCTATTACTGTTCTATTGTACCTTTTAAAACTTACTTTCTCAAGTTTTTAAAATAATTTTTTAATTGAAATTTTTACCAAAAGTTTAAGTGAAGAGTTTTTCACATTTTTATCAATTTTTCTTCTGGTTTTGACTTTAATGCCTTTTTAAATTACATAAATTTTTATAGAAATATTACAGGAAATATTTTTGTTTATCATATAAAAGAATCCTCATTATCAAATGGAAAATTTTTATGAAAGAAACTTGAATACTTTTATTGTTTTGAATATTTTTTGGTGATGCTTAATAAGTTGTTATTTTATAATTTTATAAGAATTGTAATTTAATATTATATAATAATAATTTTTTATTCTAAATTATTAAAATAGTTTCTCTAATAATTCTGTTTTTAACTTAGACGAACCATGGATTTGGAACATTCCTCATACAGATTTACCAGATCGGTTTGGAAATATGTGGTGCCCTTCATAAACTTTCGATAAAATTTTTTAATATTGTTAAGAAATTCATTCATTTATATATTTTATTTTTTTCAAATAAACATTTTATTAAAAATTTGTTTATAAAAACAAATAAATATAAATTTATATTTGAAGAAAAGAAATGTTGGAATTAAAATTGTTATTCAGATCAAGGTCTTAAAAGTTTGNTAAAATGTTTTTTAATCACAATGCCACAGCCACTAAGAAATTTAGTAAATTTAACAAAAAATAAAATATTTAAGTCTGTAATTGATTTATCAAAGGTTTCTTTATCCTGGCTGACAATGTTCGGATGGAGATTTTTCCAAACCCAAGACTGCTTGATGATGTGTGTCTTTTGTTTACTATGTTAGATCCAGGTCAATATTGTGTAGGTTTAACAGTGTAACTAAGAGTTACAGCAGGGGTGTCCAACCCGCGGGCTGCATGCGGCCCAAGGCAAGTTCCAATGCGGCCCAATAAACGTGTAAACAAAACCGACAAATGTTTTAATTTTTTATTTATTTCAACAGCATAAACTCAAAAAAAAAGTTTCACAGAGCTGTAAACCTTTATTCATATTTTATTTTTGAGTGGAAAGAAAATATTTTCAAATACTTGGAAATGAGGATTACTAAATAAAGCTGGATTTGTGACTCAAAGGATTATAGACCCAAATTTGGGAAAAGGAGGGAAAGATGAGAAAGGACAAAAAATGTAGTAGTGAGAAACGTTAAATAGATCTTCTGTTAAGCAAACATGGACCCATAATTTTTCAACCTTTTTCACTTCTTTATCTTTTGTCATTTGCCTCTTTTTCCCCGCACTTGGGTCTATAATCCTTTGATTCACAACTCCAGCTTTATTTAGTATTTCTTCCAACGTTGCAAGATTTGGCTACATTGCGCCAAATGTGGCTACTTTTGTTTTGCTTGATGTAAAAATTATCATTTGGCGCTTTGGCTACTTTTTTGGCTACATATTATTTATAATTATATTAATTGAATAAAAGTGCACTTTAAAATGGTGTTTCATCGCTTTTTATTAATTAAAGACCCAAATAAAACAAATATTTGTGTTTTTCAAATAAATTTTCTTTAGTCTCTTTTATAATAAATGAATTTATCTATTTCCAAGATGTAAGTAGAAGTAAGATGTCTGTAGAAGTAATTTTTTAAAATATCCTTTTTTCTTGATAAAGTTTTAATACTTATTATAATAATCTAGACATGTTAATTTTTAAATATACTTGTATATTGGGCCACAAGTATATATTATATATACTTGTGGCCCAAAACTCCTTGACTTCTTCCAATGCGGCCCAGAGAAACAAAAAGGTTGGACACCTGAGTTACAGCTTTGCGTAACTGTGATTTGTCTTCATTTTGTAGAAATACTCTCGAAGTGTCTGTATTTGTAGTAAATATTTTATATTTTGTGGCTTCATACATCTTTAAGAGGAGGATCGGTCATTTTATGGAGAACTTAGGATGGTGTTTGTTGTGTTTTGTTAATGTTGTTTGTATTTTCTTTTGGAGTTGTATTAGTTCTGTGTCATATGAATATTGTCAGTATTGGGACAACATATTTAAATGTATGTTTAGCATTCAACTGTGTTACGAGAAACAAACTAAAAAATAAAAACTAATCAAATAAAATAAATAAAACAACAGAACAAAAACAGAAATTCATATTGAGTTCAATCTGCCTTTGGTAGTCTGTTTTATTCGTGCATGTTCTGTGTGGAATCCAAGAACTGTGTTGGAATCCAAAGTATTTGTAGACCTCACTTCAAGGATTCAATAATGTCTCCATTTCCAACTGCAAGATCATCTTCAGAATTCCATTTTTATGTGCAATGTTTTGCATTTGTTTATGCCAATGCTGAAGAAGTAAGAATATGTAATTTTTAACAGGCAATTTAGTTTGCAAGTGTGGATTCATAGAGTTTTACATAATTTATATACATGAGATAGGATAATATGAATAATGTTTTTTTCGTTTAATGTTGAATCCATATTTTGTGTTGTTTAATCTATTGGAAATGAATTTAAGACAAGATAGACTAATCAGATATAGGTAATCTGCATAGAAAATGCTTTGCCTTATATGTATTTGATTTGTTTTAAGGTATTGTGAGAGCCCAATTTTTTTTCTTTCAAAAAAATTTTTTGAATAAAATTCTTTCAAAAGAAAACCATAGAGATATGATTATATCTTTTCCCACAGACTTGTCCAAGGTGACACATTGAATGCATCACCAGTACCTAATGGAAAAATTGCCATTGGACCGTAGAACCAATTTACCAAGAAAAGGGCATGAACATTAAGGGGGAGGGCCCCAGAATAAAAGGAAGTTCATCCATCATCAAGAATTGGTCGACTTTAAGTGTTTGCTCCTGTCTTGGATTAACCCCCCCTACTGCCTACTGTCTTGGATTAACCCCCATCATTGCTGCCAATTGCCACCTAGGTCAACATGATCTTAGACATGTTGACCTAGGTGGACATGTTCAAAGATCTTACATTGAACTATTGAAATGTCTGCCATCCGGACAAATCTAGAGACTGTCTACATAATCAAAAAA